ACAGACTGTGCACATTGTGTTTACTAGTTATTATGCTTCTTGGATAATCTTGTGTGTTTTAAGGTACAAATCTAAAATTCCTTGCTTGCTCCACCATATTATTTTGTTATTTTTTTCTTCTTTTTCACTGTTTTCAGTGTTTGTGGTTCATTTTAGTAAGGGGGAGTTTGGTTCATCTTGATTTGCGTTGGTAAGGGAGTTTGGTTTTTCATTGCAAGAGTTGTTTAGTAAGAACACTTTGATATGTTTGGTAAAGGAGATTGGCTATATGTTTTGCATGTTGCTATGCACTATTTGCCCTTCTTGTATGTTCCTGTTATCTACATCATCATATCATTGCTTGGGTGGTTTATGATCTTGCTTTTGTTGTTTGAGAGTTGTTGTTCATGAGTCTTAGTTTTCATCTATTCATGTTTTCCATCTCATGCTTCAAGATAATCTTGTCCTATGTTTATTTTTTTTTCTTATACTCTTGTGGGACTAATAGTTGTTTTGGAGATTGTGACACTAATAGCTGTTTTGCAGATCATGACCTTGAGAAAGAAGTTTGTTTTTGTTGGCTGTAATGGGTTGGGGTGTTTAGGATTTTATTTGTTAGGTGTGTTTTGTCACAGCATTGCCAAAGGGGGAGATTGTTAGGTTTTGTTTCCTGGCAATCCCGTTTGACAAAACTCCTTTCAGTTGTATTTATTTTCGCACTTTTATTTCAATAAGGCTATGAGTGTTTAGATTCGAATCCAACCCGAATTAAGCCTTTCAGAGAAGTTTGTGATGCTAATGCTTTCAAGATTGCCACTTCACTGATTATGACTGGGATCGAGCTGCCCGGTCAGCTCGCGGGGATCCAAGGGGAAGCGCCACGGCGGGGTCGAGGGGCAGCGCCCCCGAAGCAAAATGCAAAAATGCATTCCAAGTTGCCTGTCTGCTCGAGCGGACATGACCCCGCTCGAGCGGAGAATGCTGGGTTTCAGAAGTTTGTCAGGTCTGTAAAAATACTAGAAGGTGTGATTTCGCGCTCGAGTGGGTTCTCTAGCGCTCGAGCGGACCTCTGTTATATTTCGCGCATATTTTGCTGAAGCCGCTCGAGCGGGCTGTTGGGCACTCGAGCGGAGATCGCGGGACAGATTCTATAAATTCGAATGTTGGGTCAGATTTTAGGATTACTACTCCAGATCTTCTTTTTGGATTTTAGGGTTTATATCTGGGGATACTTTGTGAGTTTTCTTTGATTTTTTTGTTGAGTATTCAACTCATGGTTTGAAGAGAGTACATCAAAGGTTGTGTTTTGTTCTACAAAAGAGAGAGTTGTTCTTCGGTGGATTCTGAAGAATTCGAGCCTGAAGCTTTGGTGGATTCCGATGTGGCTCATCGTAAAGACAATTCCGAGGTGAAGACGGGTTGGAAGAGGCACATAGAGGTTGGTTGAATTAGGCGTGGATTCGCTAGGTAATTGAGAGTATACCTTTGTAATTCCTTTAAATCTGCTTAGTGGATTGTTTTGTGGCTGTTGCCCGTGGGTTTTTTTATCACAGTTGGAGGTGTCCAATTGTGATTTTTTTCACGTAAAATCGTTGTGTCTCTTTGTCTTGATTGTTTGATTGGGATTGTTATATTCTGCTTAAAATTGATACATAATCACAAATCAACATCTAGGGGATTCCTAGATTTTTCAGAATTCAATTATAGAACTGGACAGAAATTGAAAATCCATATAGAGAAGATCAAAAAATTGCAAGTGGTGGGGGACCATGTTTTGTTGATGATTTGGGTGGTCGTAATGGGGTGCGGGGAAATTACTATTATCACAGCTTATGTCATCTCCTCCTCTGAACTCCATCACTGGATGTTTTGATTCCCATCATATGCCTTGTTCCATGACAAATTTCAGGAGCAAGAACCAACACAACCACCATCACCATAAGTGCATGCAAACCAGCATCCATTGTTTTTGTTGTCAAGTAAGAGAGGTTTAGAACATGCACAACTCAAATGGTGTAGTGCCATTTATATAGAAAATGACACTTTGACTTTCGAGAATGCATGGATTTTCTATGTCATCTTTGTGATGTATTCTCAGTCATCATGTCTTGAAATTTTAGCAACTCAAAATTCCTGCCAAATTTTAGCAATCCAAAATTTCCACCATATTGACAATATCATAGCATATGTTGGTATATTTATTAGTATATCAATTGGTGTATGTAGCACCATTAAATGTTGACAGCTGAATGTAAGTTTCTTTATTGCTCATAGGGTCTTAAAAAATTATTTAGCTAAGAAATAGAAAGAATAATGATATGACAAGTGTCACATCACCAAATAAGAAAATTTTATAAGTTTTTTTTTTTAAACTTATATCGCATTATTCTTATGCGTATATTTTTCATAGAATAAATCTACGGTGTGCGCTCGTAAAGGTAAGCACTTCATAAAAATATTATGATTTTTATAATTGAAGTTACTTCGTGGTTAAATTTACCAATGACAAATCTATGTGTAACTTTAAAGTCAAAGTTATCAACTATTGAAATTATATTTTGAATATAGTGTAAATGTCACGAACAATTTGTGATTAAAAATTTATGAATTATTTTGGTGAAAAAAATTACGATTTGTTATGATATTTGTTATATAACATTTTTCATATTTCTTTTTGATTGGCAAAGTAAAAATTTCATTAAAAAAAGGAAATTAAAGGTACAAAAAAATAAAATGCACATAGTGAAATTCAAAGAGTGTGAAAACTCTCCTACAACTCGCATCTCACAACCAATCCCCTCAGCCTCATGAGATTTTTTAATTTAAAACAACAAGAACAAAAAACCAAAGCAAAATACAAAAAAAGAAAAAAAATAACTAAGTAGATCTTAACTGCAGAACACAGCCTCCAAAACACGTTGTAATCATATTACATGTGTTGTGATAAAATACATATAATTTGCACATTTTTAACCGTGCACATGGTAGCAGCTCCCTTTTTCATATTGCAAAGGGAAGAAATGGAGCTATGTTGTGTTTGTTTTGTTTCAAGTGATCAGAAGCTGAAATCAACACCACCCATAAAAATTGCTGAACTTTTTCTTCTACATGAATCAGCCCAAGAATGAAAGAATTAATAAAAAGGGATTATAGAACAAGTATCAAACGATGTTAAGGTTTGAATATACAGAGAGAATGATTCTACGTACATAAAATCTTGTCGCACAACTAAATATAACCCCTTCACATGGCAATCGGATCACAGAATAGCACACTACTACACTCTCACATGGTATGATGTGATATAATTGTGTCCGATTTTGTGATTATTTTGAGCAATAATAATAATTCAGAACCCATCATCTAGAATTAGGCAATAAAGAAGTTGAAACAACACATACAGAAGAAGATCAGGAATTTGGAGGTGGAGGACCAAACTTAAATTGATGACCTTTCTGGCCGTAACTGGGTGGAGAGGGTGCATTATTTTTGGTTGGTGATTCTCTGTCGTTTCGTCGTCCTCTACTAAAGCCGTGCTTTGATTCACATATTATAAGTCTTCCTTGACAAATTTCAGGACCAAGAACCACCACCACCAGTCCCAAAACTACCACGACCACCATAACTCTATGCAAACTATCCTCCATTGTTTTTATTGTCAACTATAAGAGGGGTTTGGAATATTATGCACAACTCACCTCTCCATAGTGCCATTTATATATGTGCAAATTACACATTGAATTAAATGTCCTTTGCACATTGGTTATTCTCATCTACCAACCAAGTGGAGATGGCAAGTTGAATCAATCAAGATTGGACTGGATGGTGCTATCTACAAGTTTCACTTTAATAATTAGATCTATTTATTATATAAACTTTTATGTATATATCATTTATAAAATAAAATAAAATTTAATTTAATATCATAATTAAACAATTTAATCATGTTTTAAAAAAAATAGACAACCAGAATAATATTGAGACTCAGGAGTATTTTTTGTACGGTCAAATTTTTTTAAATTATAAGATTTTGATTATCTAATTAATCTAATTTTTTTAGTGTATGATCTACACATGCACACATGGTCCAACAAAATAAACGAATTAGATTGACAAAGTAGGGTCTGCGATGGGTTTTAGATAGTATTGTTGTCCATAATGTGCATTGAGTAAAACTCAAGACACCTTACTTTAATAAATAGATTATCTTCCACTTATTATTATTATTATTATTTTGTAATTTAAAGTAGATACAAATAATATATTTTCATGTAATTTATCTTAAGTCGGTTCCTACCCAAAAATTAATTTTCAACGAATACTGTTACATGCACTGTACTGCAGTTGACCTAAAAAGTGAGATGTCACAATGAGGAGGGTAAAGATTTTATTTATTTTTTTGACAATGAAGATGTTAGTGTTAACTAATTTTCTTATTATAAATATAGAGTTGTTTTAGAAAGTTAGTTAAAAATTAATTTTTTTGACGTGTTAATTTAAAAAAAAAAACGTATAAAAAAATAGAAAAGTAATATAATCTAAAATAAATTAAAAACTAACTTTTAACTTTTTTAATTCTTCCCAAAAAAACCCATAATATGTTACTGGAGACTCACCACTATGTAAAAACAAACAAATCTAATCCTATAATTTATATCGAGTCATTCAATGGATACCATTTCTAGGAGAAATTATTCGATGCTCCAAGAGCACCATGTCAGCACCGCCAGATGGTGCTCCAAACCAATGGTAGGATGCCAATCGAGTTTTATGTCAGTGAACTTGCTAGATTGTCAGCAGTTATACTTGTTTTGAAAAGTAGAAAAAAAAAATTTAATTTATTGATTTTTTTTGAAAACATATATAAGAAATTAAGAAGTAATGTAACATAAATAAGTTATTAATTTAATAAAGTGACTTTTTTTATACTTCTCAAAATGACCCTTAATCACCTTAATCACTAGGGTCCTGTTGTAGTGTGCACCCCTTAAAGGGTTGCACACCGTGTGCACCTTCTTTGTTGGCCATTGGATTACACAAATACATCCTCACCCTTGAATTCTTTAATTTTAAAAAATTGGACCACCGGAGAGCAACCGGTTGACCATCTCTCTTCTTCTTCCACAGGCTATTCTCTCTCTCTATTTTCACTCTTTCGTTTCTCTCCCTCCCTCTACCTCTGCTACTCCCTCCTTCGAGTGATCTCTTCCCCTGCTCCTCTCTCTCTTCTCTCTCTACTGTGCTCATTCGTCTGTCTTCCTCTAGTTCGACTGACTGCAGATTCTAAGAGCATCTCCAGCAGCTTGGCTATTCTTTCCTTTTAGCCATAGAAGCGAGCTTGGAAGGGTAAAACATTGCTCCAGCAGACTCGCTCAAGGATCGCTACAATGGTGGTGAGCTACAGGACCTTGCCAGGACAAGCGAGGTACTGTTCATGAGCCTTTCAATTTTTTATTTATTTTTGCCTCCTCAATTCGGTTTTTGGCGGTAAAATTTTTCAACGCTCCAATGTCTCTTTCGATCGTCGACAATGGCAGAGAGCTCTTTGTTGTCAAATTAATCGAGAGAGGCGAAAAGGTTTTTTTTTTCTTCTTCTTAATTTCATGCTTTTGTTCCATCTGGGTTATCATTTTTCCATTAATCGAGAGAGGCGAAAACGTTTTTTTTCCCTTAATTTCATGCTTTTGTTCCATCTGGGTTATCATTTTTCCCATCTGGGTCTTTTTCTTTTTTTCTTTTTGGGTTTATTCTGAGGTTCTTTTTTTGCTGCAGATTGATGAGCATGTACAGAGGGAGATCATGAATCACAGATCATTGAAACATCCCAATATTTTGAGATTTAAAGAGGTTTGTCATTAACTTTTGTGACATACTATAAGAATTTGTTATTAATTTTGTCTGCTTGTATAATTTTGGAGTTAGACTCTTCTGTTTTGGTCCATTTTGGGTATTGGGAGTGTTTGATAGTGATATATTTTTCATATTTGGAAATAATCTGTTTCACTTTTTTTACCTCTCCCTGTTTAATGAGCTTATTTTTATAGAACTAATTCTCAAACTTTTTGCTCAAGGGAGGTAATAAATTTTGTCATTTCTGTTTATTTGTCTATGTATTTGTATTGCACACTATATGTTTGTTGTAATTTCTGTTAGAATATAGATTGTAATTATTTGGGTTCCATGAATGGAGAATTGAAGTTGGAGTGTTGCAAGAATTCTAATATGTAGAAGACCAGATTGAGGGCTGTGAAATGTGAAATGGTTCTCATTCCTCAGAAGACCAAAAAAAAATATAATTTCAGTAGTTATTAGATGTACTCTTCAAGTTCAAAGTTCCTTTGATTTTTTTACTTGTGTCCAACACATTCCATGCACTTAACTTTTTCTGTTTCTGTTTTTGTGGGTAAATGGGCAAACCTCTTTTTTCTAGATTCAATATTTAGTAAATTTTCTACATGTTTTGTTTAATATTGTGGCTTCAATTTTTTATTATTTGTCTTTTTCTTCTTCTCTCTCTCTCTTTTTTTTTTTAAAAAAAGGTGTGCAGAGTACACTTGGCTTCCACGAATGTGAATTTTTCAATTAATTGATAAATTATTAAACTGTTGCTGTAGATAATGTTTTAGAGCAGTGATTTAATTTGTACTGTTTAATCATTTTCTTTGTTTATGTATGCATTCAGTGTTCTGCTCATATCTTTGGATAATCAAGTACTTTGATTTTTGGATCTGCATAGCTTTTAAATTGTGTCAATGCTGATATGTTTTTAACTGTGCTTATGCAGCTCCGTAATCTGGAAAGGGGTGTGGACATATTAGTTGCCACACCGGGCCGCTTAGTAGATATGATAGAGAGGGCAAGAGTTTCTCTTCGGATGATCAAGTATTTGGCTTTGGATGAGGCTGATCGAATGTTGGATATGGGCTTTGAGCCCCAGATTCGAAGGTTTGTTGAGCAAATGGAGATGCCTCCACCAGGTGCAAGACAGACGATGCTTTTCAGTGCCACATTTCCAACTGAGATACAAGTTGGTTTACTCAACTCCTTGATAAATAACATAACTCTATGGAAGTCTGTTTCGGTTGCCTTTATGCATGATGTTGGATTATGCAACCAATATGAAGTTAATTTTAGCTCCAGATGAAGCATAATTCAATCTGAGTTTTTCATATTTACTTATATATATGAGGGCATTATTTCTAGTACATACCAACCGCAAGTAGAACTAGATCACAAGTTTTAATTAAGAAGTCTTGAGTGAAATCAAATTGCATTTTGGTTTTATTAGTATAAGTTAATTTGTTGAATGGTTGGTATTTATGCTTTTCTTTAGTATAAGTTATCATGTGGATGGATCATAACCACTAATTTATCTCTTGCAGAGGCTTGCTTCGGACATTATGTCAAACTACATATTTCTTGCTGTTGGAAGGGTTGGTTCCAGCACTGATCTAATTGTTCAAAAAGTTGAATTTGTCCAGGACATGGACAAAAGAAATTATTTGATGGATCTTCTTCATACCCAATGTGATAATGGAGCCCATGGAAAGGTAAATTGTATAGTGGCAGTAGTTTCACCATTGTTAGACAATTGACGATTAATCTTGTTAATCTATCTGACTAATGCAACTCTGTTATTTGTAATGCAGTGTGCCTTGACACTGGTTTTTGTAGAGACAAAGAGAGGGGCTGATGCTTTAGAGCGCTGGTTGTCCATGAATGGTTTTCCTGCGACAGCAATACATGGTGACAAAGTGCAAATGGTGAGCTAATTCTGTCTTATTTTCAGTTGGATCTTTTGTGCTTTTGCTGTTTTGCCATGCCCTGAACACTTGTCCTATGGTTCTGATTTTAGTCTACTGGGGGTTCATAATTCTATTGATCTGTTTGTTTTGCGTCTACACTGATAAATTGCTTAATCTGAGCAAGAGGACAACTATAGTATCCGATATTGTATATGACCGTTGTAAAAATCTGAAAAAATGTGACTGTTGTAAAAATATGACCGTTACAAAAATATGACCGTTGAAAAAATATGACCATTTGAAAAATACGATAGTAGAAAAATGTAACTTTGACAAAAATATAATTATATTTAGAAGAATGAAAAAAATAAAAATTTGAAAAAAGTTAGTTTTTTTTTTTTTAGATTGGAAAGAAGGTAGTTAAAGTATAAGAATATTTTAATAGAAGATAGCTAAAGTAGATAGCCTTGTTGGAATTTATATTAAAAAAATGACTAGCTAAAATAGTAAAGTGAAATTTTGAATAGCTATTTTA